TAATTTCAATTTAATTTATTTTTAATTTTTTTCGGCGCGCTGCTGATGACGTCAGGTACGCGCTTTCGATGAGCGCGGTTTTGTCTACCGCGGTTTTGACGGGTCACGAGTCACAACACTTCTATTGAATGCATGTTGGGGAAATTAAAAGGTGGTGATGGCTGGATGTTAGTCGGTCTCTACTTTTCCTTTTAGAAAATCTTTGCCTGGTATGGGGGGAAGTCAAACATCCTGGAGCGCAACAAAGCTCGGGATTTTGCAACAGCAATCCGAGACACTGAGAGGAAGGGAAAAGCAAAGATGGAGATTGTTGTGGACGGGGAAGAATCTGCTGAGATGACGGCGGGAAGAGTTTTGTGGGGAACAAAGAGTATGAAGGGTAGATGGAAATTAGTATCTAGGTTGGCCATTTCCTCATCTGCTCCTTTCCAGATGTGTTGGACCACACCTTTCCTTGTTGTCTGGGGATTATAGAAGTTGTAGAATTCATCTGAAAAATGAGTCAGGATCATTTGGATTAGGATTCCAAAGAAAGGCGTACAAAAGGTCTCTGAAAAGTTATGAAATATTCTTTATCCGTGAATCGCTGTAGCATCTGGCAAGGAGTTTCATACAGAGATGGTCCACAAGAACAAAAGTTGCTGTTTTAAAGTAATTCATGGTATTGACTTTTTCATACCAAGAACTACATTTTAGTGCTTGAAAGGGCCAGAACCAGCTTCCCTGATGCATTTGTGTTGCACATGGATGAAGAAGTACTTTCTAGGTGGGAAGACGTTTCTGGCGGCAGCTGCATGGCAAACATTGAATTTGAACTGGACCATGTCAAGGAATAGCACTGAGGTTCTGATGCAGGAGGGACTTGTGTGCAAAGAGATATTGTTGTGACATATTTCTCCAGGTACTGGGTCCTAAGCCGGTTCTGAAAGAAGGCACCGCTGAGGAAGATATTGTGGCTGATCAGAAGAATGCTATTGCAGCAGTATTGTATAAGGTAATAAAATAACAGAGAAGAACCTTATTTGAGGTTGGATGGGATCTCCAGGAAATTGTTCTCTTGTAGGCACCTTCTGAAATCCATTCCTCTTCTCCTTCTCCCTCTTTGAGAGGGAAACCTATCAGCTGATGGTTGGACATTTGAATTTTAAAAAACCTAACTATCTGTTTAATCATCTATAATCCCCAGTATGATCCTACACTGGACATTGTGTCCCTTTAAAAGGATGGGTAGCCACAAAGACCATAATGCCACTGGAATGAGAAGGCTGGCTGATGTCTTCCAGGCAGCCCTGCCATACCACAAAACATTAAGCTTGCAAACAAACCCCAACAAGAAAATAAATCCAAAATGACTTTCTCTCTGTCGTTTTACTTGTCGCAATTTTCAGACTGTGGGTTGGATGTGTGTAAACGCACATTCATCTTGAAATAAAAAATGTGCCAATGGGGAAAAAAATAGCTGTTTCCTACAATTAGTTGAGCCGCCTTTATTTTTTGCTTACTTTTGTTGCATATTTATGATTTCTGGGCACATTATGCGGACCCCTGGATTATTTCCAAAAGGAGATATGGGTGGTAGAACTCAGTTTCAAGCGAGTGTATCCATAGACATAGACTCTGTCCTTTAGAGCTGAGGTGGCGCAGTGGTTAAATGCAGCACTGCAGGCTACTTCAGCTGACTGCAGTTCTGCAGTTCGGCTGTTCAAATCTCACCGGC